TAACAGCGCCACTGCAAAAGGTCCGCCTGATTCGACGCGCTGGAGTTCAATCCAGGAGGCCTTTGGAGCGTTGGAGTCACCTACCAGCAGGAGATGAGTGAAGCAGTAGTTGAAGGAGAGTTTCTCAAGTGTTTGTATGAGAAATTGGCCATCTTCAGGAGGACCCGAGGGGCTACGGTAGACCACACCGAGAAGGAGAGAATCGGACCCGCACAGCTGGATTTGGACTCATAGTGTATCTCAAAAGGGTACAGGGGTGGTGTCAGGGAGGACAATCGGGATTGGTAGGGCCTCATGTAAGTATAGGGCGACCCTGCCAGCCCTCCCTCGTTTTGAGTCGGCTCGAGAAACAGTAACCGTCAATGGATGTCTCTGCGTCAGAGACATCTAGTGTGAGCCAAGCCTTTGCGAGTGCGGTTATGGACGTTTGTTCAAGGCAAGCTGACTGTTTAACATCGCCGAGTTTGTTGAAAAGGCTGAGGCAGTTTGTGGACAAGCATTTCAACACCGTCTCTGCTGCCTCCGAGGGTGAGGAGCCGAAAGTTGAGTGACCAGGGTGGTTAGCAGACCTAACAGTTGTGCTCCGGGTTTGATATAATGATACGGACATGATAGTCACTCTGGCTGTTGGTTTCCAGATACCATTCTCACTCAACGACGGCTTTATAAAAAAACGTTTTGGTCAATTAAATCTCGCACATATCTTCTGCAAAAGAATCAAACTATCTTAACGTTCTTAGGGCCAACTTGCAAGACACGAAATCCGTCCCAACAAAATCGGCGTGATGACTGACGCGGCGATGGCAAGATTCGGTGACGAATTCACGGACGCTAGAAAACCCGAACCAATGAGAAGTTTATATAAGGCAGTCGTAAAAGCGCCCTGGCCCTATAGTTGAAACCTGTCCCCAAAGTCCTCCAAAGTTCCCCAGCGTCTTCAGAGGTGCACCGCTGATGTCGCCATCGCGATGAATTAGTGAGTGTGCAGATACCTCTGTCGAGGCTGCCCTTTGGAGCACCGGGTGAAATCTCGAAAGAATTTGCAGCTGTATATCCGCCCTGTAATTGACATGAGTTTGACGTTCGATTGGTGTTTATGTTCATCATAAAAACGCATCAAAAGGTTCACTGCACGCACTGGGGTTTTGCTTTAACTATACCTTCTGCAGCCGCAGGCCTTCCTGATGTGGTCGAAACTAGTTGCTCACGTTTAGACCAAGTAACAAGGATAAACCGGTCGGGTTCCACATGGTAACATGCCCACTTAGCTGATGGCTTGGTAGATTGAAGGGTATTGTTGAGACGGATTGACTATTGATAAAATGGTTTCACCGCCACATGTGCACACACCCAGTAAACGTGCCTGTAGATCTCGGCACAATAAGCAAAACAAATCACCTGAGATCAACAGGTTCACTGGGTAACCACAGAACCCATAGAGGAAATCGTCGTTTTAGACAGACTGCCAAATGGATTTGTGGCCGATATCTCCTGAACTGGTGCTTAATTTCCACGTTAGTGGTCAAATGATGGCGTGAACTCGGTTGCATTTGCACCATTAAGTATTAAGTATAGCTTCCGGCCCTGGGTTTCTGGAAGATTCACTCACCCAAACAAGCGTTCAGACTGCTTATGCGGTCCTTCAAAAGCTTATTGCTATGCCCTGGGAACAAAGACAGGGGTATAGATTTCGCTGGCTTCTTGTCGGCTTGGAAACCAGTCCACGCAATAAATACGTGAAAATTTAACTCAATATGTTGGAAAGAGTGGTCTATGAACTCCAAAAACAGGTGCATG